TCAGTGGTGGTCTGTTAACTATCCCCTCACCGTCTAGAGTTACCATAGAGTTATCATAAAACAGAAGGAAGATATCAAAGTTATCCTGTAGATTGATTTTGAGGTAAAGAACTCTTTCAGCTGGTATCATTATGAAATCTTTGTCATTTTCTACAGATGTATTCCTATGCCTCTATATTATTGTGTCGTATCGAACGTAATTTCCAAACAACCATGTAGTTTGTAAAACTCTCATTGTGGGCATTACCTTGTCAAATGTGTCCGTGTTTTGTCACCCAACACACACAGATACTTAAGCAGAACAGAGTTTATCTGGTAACGACCACGTTCCCAGATCAATGTTACCGGTTTTTATATATAGTTGTGTAGAGATCTGTCAAGCCTCAAAAAATCCCCCCACAATGTTCCAGGGAAGAATCACGGACCCCCCATTCCTTATTTGTACCAAAATGAGCGCCATTTGTACACGAAGTAAAAAATTCATAATCATTTCAGCGCTTGCCTGTATATCAAATTCCTTATCTTTATTCAAACGTTTTCGGGAATTGGGTGACTAACGAGTAAAAACGACATGCGGACCAATTTTCCATATTTTTTTTAAGACGGTAGCTGGCGCATTCACAGTTATTTTTTTATTACTTTCACGATAAAATCAGCAATGCGGTGCCCTAAAATGAAATGTGCGTGGGCCTGAGAACCATTTTTTTTTTTTTTTGGCCTTACGTTACATTATCAAACATTTGGAACGGACTATGAGTATTGGGATAGCAAGGTAACATAAGTGGAAGTGCATACAACACATACAATCATTAAAAAAAATATGACTCTTCACGTGATGTCCCTTTAACAGACTGAACATAAACATTTTGATTTTTTTCACAATATTTGGTAAATGTCTGATTAATATATATATATTTTTTTAATAGGAAAAAGAAGTTATCAAGCATGAATGCGTGACATTGTCAGACGAAGTTATCCAGACAGAACACAAACTAAATATACAGACTCGGAGGATGACAGACTGTAAGAATGAACTGGAGAACTATAGGAAGTCTCTACCCAAGGAAGATGGCTCTCCAGATACTCCCGATACAGACATGTTAAAACTACAGCAGGAATGTGACAGCTTAAAAGAGACCATTCGGCTGCTTGAGGAGGAAAATGCATCTTCTAAAACAGACTCTCGGGAATCCACCAATACCATGCAAAAACTACAGCAGGAATGTGACAGCTTAAAGGAGACCATTCGGCTGCTTGAGGAGGAAAATGTGTCTTCTAAAACAGACTCACAGGAATCCACAACTACCATGGAAAAACTACAGCAGGAATGTGACAGCTTACAGGAGACCATTCGGCTGCTTGAGGAGGAAAATGTGTCTTCTAAAACAGACTCTCAGGAATCCACAAATACCATGCGAAAACTACAGCAGGAATGTAACAGCTTACAGGAGACCATTCGGCTGCTTGAGGAGGAAAATGTGTCTTCTAAAACAGACTCTCAGGAATCCACAAATACCATGCAAAAACTACAGCAGGAATGTTCTATTCTCAAACTGCAAGTAGAGAAACTTGAAAATGAAAGGATAGAGTTGATGAAGAAGGTAGATATTGAAAATAACAAGATGGCTACTTTGGCTGATGAACAGTCTCATATGCATGACGAATTAACGGATGTTAGATACAAGATTGAACAAGTGCCTGTTCTGAAAGACAGATGTGAAAAACTTGAACAAGAAAAGGAATCTCTTTTCACTGAACTTAACTCATTAAAAGAGGAAGGGAAAATAAAACCAGAAATTCAAGAGATAGAGTTGCAGAATCTCAAAGAGACAGACAGCAGTTTGCAGCAAAAGCTTCAACAGGCAGAAGAAGAGAAGATGCTGTTGATGTCAAAAGTGGAGAGCTTACAAAGCGAGTGTCGGGAACAATCAATGGACAATGGAATGGCTACAATGGAAGAGGAATGTAACAGATTGAGGGAGATGGTCAAACAATTTGAGGAAGAAAAGTTGACTTCTAAAACAGAGGAAGCAAATTCAAATGAAGCTGATTCCAATCAAGCCATGCAAAAATTACAGGAAGAATGTTCTATTCTGAAACTTCAAATAGAGAAACTAGAGTCGGAGGGTATTGAGTCAGTGGGAGGATCAGAGACTGAAAGTAACAAAATAGCTTTGCTGGAGGAGGAATGTGAAGTGCTAAGAGCCACCGTAAAGGATTTGGCTGATGAACGTCTCAATATGCAGGATGAATTGACAGATGTTGGCCACAGAATCGAACAACTTCCCATTATGAAAGAGAAATGTGAGGAACTAGTGCAAGAGAAGGAATCGCTTCTCATGGAAATTGCTTCATTGAAGGAGATTGGAAATGCAGGACCAGAAATGCAAGAGGTTGAGTTACAGATACTCAGAGAAAAAGCTAGTAACATACAGGAACAGCTGGAATCGGTAGAAGAAGAAAAGATGCAGATGACTTTAAAACTGGAGAGTTTACAAAGCGAGTTTCAGGAAAATCCACTGGACAATGAGAGGGCTAAGTTGGAGGAGGAATGTGAAGTGCTCAGAGCCACAGTGAATGATTTGGCCGATGAACGTCTAAACATGCAAGAAGAATTGAGAGATGTTGGGGTCAAAATTGAACAACTGCCTGTACTGAAGGGAAAATACGAGGAACTCCTACAAGAAAAAGAATCTCTTTTAAATGAAATCTCCTCATTGAAAGAGGAGGGGAAAGCAGAAGTGGAAATACAGGAATTAGAGTTGCAGAAACTCAGAGAGAAAGCTAATGCTTTGGAGGAAAAACTGGACCAGGTGGAAGAAGAGAAAACTGATTTGACTTCAAAACTTGAGAACTTACAAAGTGAGGATCACAATACATTAGCAGTCAATTCTATGTCAAAGTTGGAGGAGGAATGTGAAAGGCTGAGGGAGACAATTAGACAACTGAAGGAAGAAAAGTTGCCATCTAAAACAGAGGAAGCCGATTCCAATGAAGCCATTCAAAAATTACAGGAAGAATGTTCTGCTCTTAAACTTCAGATAGAGAAACTAGAATCTGAGAAAGATAAGTCATTGGAAGAAACGGACACTGAAAGTAACAAGAATGCTACACTAGAGGAGGAATATGAAATACTACGAATCACAGTAAAGGATTTGATCGATGAACGCCTGGATATGCAGGATGAATTGACTGAGGCGGGAATGAAAATTGAACAACTTCCCATTTTGAAGGAGAAATGCGAGGAACTTGTGCAAAAAAATGATTCACTTCTGACAGAAATCTCTTTACTTAAAGAAGGAAAATCAGGAACAGAAATGCAAGAAGTTGAGTTGCAGATTCTCAGAGAAAAAGCCAACAGTCTGCAAGAACAGCTGGAATCAGTAAAAGAAGAAAGGCATAGTTTAATTTCGAGATTAGAGACCTTGCAAAGTGAACTTGAGAACAAAAATGTGGACAATGCAATGGCTGCTTTAGAAGAGGAATGTGAAATACTTCGGGCCACCGTGAAGGATTTGGCTGATGAACGTCTCAATATGCAGGATGAATTGAAAGATGTTGGCCACAAAATTGAGGAACTGCCCATGCTGAAGGAGAAATGTGAGAAACTTTTGCAAGAAAAGGAATCACTCATAGAAATGTCTTTGAAGAAGGAAAATGCAGGACCGGAGATGCAAGAGGTGGAATTGCAGATTCTCAGAGAGAAAGCTAGTCACTTACAAGAACAGCTTGAATTGGCAGAAGAAGAGAAAAACAGTTTGATCTCTAGAGTGGAGAGCCTACAAAATGAGAGTCCAGAAAAACCTGTGGAGGAATGTGAAAGGTTAAGAGAGACTATAAGACTGCTTGAGGAAGAAAATGCATCTTCTAAAACGCAGGCTGCTGATTCCAATGATGTCTTACAAAAATTACAGGAAGAATGCTCAGTTCTCAAACTTCAGGTAGAAAAAATTGGAACTGACAGAGGTGAGTCAGTGGAAAGAACAGACAATGACAATAACAAGATAGCTACCCTGGAGGGAGAATGTGAAGTACTTCGAGCCACAGTAAAAGATTTGGCAGATGAATGCCTCAATATGCAGGAAAAATTGACAGGCATTGAACAACTGCCTATTTTGAAGGAGAAATATGAGGAACTTGTGCAAGAAAAAGCTGCACTTTTAAGTGAAATATCGTCTTTGAAGGAAGAGGGGGAAACAGAACTTGATAAACCAGAACTAGAGCTGCAGAATCTTAGAGAGAAAGCAAGTAGTTTGCAGGAACAGCTAGAACTAGCAGAAGAAGAGAAAACCAGTTTGATTTCAAGGCTGGAGAACATAAAAACTGAGTGTCAGGAACAACCCAAAGACAGTGTTGTGACTGTGATGGAAGAGGAATGTGAAAGGTTGAGAGAGACTGTTAAAAAGCTTGAGGAACAAAATCTGCCTCCAAAAACAGAGGCAGCCGATTCCAATCAAGCCATGCAAAAATTACAAGAAGAATGTTCTATTCTGAAACTTCAAATAGAGAAACTAGAATCTGAGAGAGTTCAGTCAGTGGAAGGGTCAGACACTGAAAATAACAAGATTGCTACACTGGAGGAGGAATGTGAAATACTTCGAGCCACAGTGAAGGATTTAGCTGATGAACGTCTTAACATACAGGATGAATTGACAGATGCTGGGGTTAAACTTGAACAAGTTCCCATTCTAAAGGAGAAATGTGAGGAACTTGTGCAAGAGAAAGAATCCCTTCTCGTGGAAATTTCTTCTATGAAGGAGGAAAGGAATAATACCAAATCAGAGATGCAAGAAAAATGTGAAAAATTTGAACAAACAAACAATTTGCTTACTGCAGAAATTTCCCATTTAAAGCAGACTAATATGTCACTGGAGGTAGAAAAGACAGAAAATGTCAGCAGTTTGCAACAGCAGCTTGAAGAGGTATTGGGAGAAAAAGTACATTTGAAATCTTGTTTAGAGGTTTTAGAAAAAGACTGTAAGGAAAAACAAATAGCAGAGGAGAAATATGTAGGCCTCAAAGGCAAGGTGAAGGACTTGACTGATGAGTGCCTTAACTTACAGAAAGAAATTACTGATCTAGGAGTCAAAGCGGAGCAGGTACCTATTCTGAAGGAGAAATGTGAGGAACTTGTGCAAGAAAAGGACTTGCTTATCCAGGAAGTTTCGTCATTGAGGGAGGGAACAACAAAAATGGAAAGACAGTCATTCGAGGTAAGGAATCTAGGGGAGAAAGTCAGTAATTTACAACTTCAACTGGAACAGTCCGAACAAGAGACTCTTCATCTGAACTCTCAATTAAAACAATTAGAAACAGAAAGACATGAAAAAACAGTGGAAATTGAAACATGTAAGAGTTGTTATGAATCTCTCGCACTGGAAAAGAAATACTTAGATGAAAAAGTAGAAAATCTGGGCAGAGAACTTGCTGAGAGAATCAGTCAACAAAATGCTGAAAGTGGACGAGTTTGTGTCCTTTTGGAAGAGATGAGTGACATGCAGGAGAACATTTCCCAGTCTGAAAAGGAAAGGAATGAAATGGAGATGAAACTCGAGAAATCCATAAGTGAACTGCAAGTGGTAAGTAACAACATAGGCCTAGCATAAAAATAGGGAAAATATAATGAATCTGAGTAAATCTTACCAGGCTAAATAAACTGATAATGAGATTACATATTTAGAAATCATTCCTTTTAATAAGCCCGTCAAATTTGACGGAAGTATTATGGTATGGGGTTGGCCGTCTTGCCGTCCTTCGTAAACTTTTACATTCTCTTAAAAACTTGGTATACAATATAATCATGTATGAAGTCTTGTCTCCCTCTATAGAGATTTGATTCAACCATTTATCCAAAGGTTATTGCCCTTTGTTTATTTCAGTATTTGATTTTTTGTCCGGAGATCTCCTCCTCCTTTTTTTGACGGATTACTTTGAAACTTAGCAGGCTAAATAATCATGATATGTTGTTGTTTTTCCTTGAAAAGAATTTTGATTCAACAATTTTTGCAAAAGTTATTGCCCTTTGTTTATTTCAGTATTTGATTTTTTGACCGGAGATCTCCTCCTCCTTTTTTTGACGGATTACTTTGAAACTTAGCAGGCTAAATAATCATGATATTTTGTTGTGTTTCCTTGAAAAGAATTTTGATTCAACAATTTTTGCAAAAGTTATTGCCCTTTGTTTATTCCAAGACACAGAATCAGGAACGGGAAAATGCTATTTGTGCAAAGAACAATGAAATAGACCAACTTAAAGCAGAGATATCTACGTTGAAGGTTCAGATGGAGATGGAGCCTTCACAGCAGGGATTGTCCTGCTCAGTCAACATGGATACCTCAACACCATGGGCTGTAAGTGTTGTGTAAGGAAGCTGTTACTATGTAAGATTCAATAAGTAGAGAGATTTTATATGTGTGATGGTATTGTGTCAAAACAAAGAATGAATGTCTTGTCATTCTTTAACAAATTTTATTAGCAAGTGTTTCTATTTGTGTTCTGATTTTTTCAGGAAGAAAAAATGGAATTATTGAAGAAGATTGATGTCTTGAAAATTGAAAGAGTGAAGGTAGGGTAATGCTCAGCCAAGGTGTTTTCTAAAAATAAAAATGTGATCACTCCCTCACCAGTACTACTGAACCTACTTATTTAGGACAGCAATGTCCTTCCCCGGGGTACAAAATTTTGGGTCAAAAAGTTTTTGCTCCAACTTCTGTACCCTCGGGTTAGACATTTCTGTCCTACAAATAATGAAATCATATAAAATACACCCATTTCATATGCATGACATCACAATTTACAGTTACAGTGCAGCAGAGCAGAAACTGACAATATGATGAATTTAAAACCTAAAAAGTTTTCATTAACTTAACAAGTTGGAAAGTTTGCTGAATCTTGTTGATTAGTTTATTTCTGTCCAAAAAGCTTGAGAAAAATTGCATTTTTTCAAAATTCAAAACACAGAATGCCCTTTCATGTTTTCTGAGCTAATTCTAGCAATTGGTATGTGAGCAAAATACTCTTACAAAGTACTTCTGTCCTGGTGTGTAGTATAGGGAAATCTTGCCCTCAAATTAAAAATTTGGGGTATATACAGTAGTCATCCACTCTAAATTGTATACTTGGTGTATTATGTTTTCAGCATGCTCGTCTGATGTCTGAAGTGAATAAAATAAAAGAAGACAAAAAGATGTTAATTTCCTACTGTAACGATCTTGAAAAGGTAGGTTATCTGGTGATCGGAATCAAACAAATCTTAACCACTTCTCAGTGACGGTGACCGACACTTCCTTGTAATGGAAAGTGGTTGCATTTATAATGAATGTCGGATCAACATTACTTCTGTGTTATGATCCTGTTCTACCATGATCTGATCAAGTTTGTTGTGTACTTGTATTGGAGTGAATATCTTGTCAATCAAATTGATCACAAAATGACCATACATTGTTGGTTGTATACTCATGTCCGAGTGAACTTATCTTCAACCAAAGTTTTCAATGCTGACCGTAAATATAGAAGAAATTCATCTCCACAGAAGATTTCAATTCATTAATGAAACTCCTTTTAAGCTAACACAAAGAATTAATCTGTTGCAAAAATTTACAGTACCAACAACCAAAATTGCTGTCCTTCTAAAACATTCATGATACTGATTTAGGATGCAGGACCTGATGATGGGTATCTTGAATATATATTTTCCTTTTGACATTGATAAAGGTGAACAAGTTTCTACACAGCTTTGACTAAAGCTCATTTGATTTTAACAGCAACAGCAGAAAGCTGTGGATGAGTCGGACATGGGGAAAAAGCTGAAGGCAGCCGAGGCAGACGCAGACAAATACTACGATCTGCATAACAAGCAACAGACTCAGATTGAAGAACAGAAGAACCTACTCAGCAAATCCCAGACAGACATGGAAAACATGAAGGCACAGTTCAGAGAAACAGAGAGTAGGTATACCAAGATCAGTGAGTTAGGAGATGACCAGGAAATAACACTGTAGATTACGTATATCACAACTGATCTTCCCTACCCAACACCAGTTTGTTATCTTCTTGTGTGTGTTGCGCTGGCAACATAAAGGATTTACTCAATTCGTGTCATCTTCAACACACATTTTTTTTTGCTGAAAGACTGGTGATAATAACCTGCCAGTTTACCTAAATTTTATCTCTTTGTGGCTGAAAAAAAGGTTGCTATTGACTGATTTGAGAACCAAAGAGAATTTTTGATGATCTTACGTAACAGTTGGTCTGTATACAAAGTGTCAAAGTAAAACCGCTTGGGATGGTTTCAAGAAGATTATTATAGACAGGTTGTTGATATAGACAGGTGGTCATGAGATCACTAGGGCAGGTTTGACTGTGTATCAATATATAATTATTCACGTGATACTTGATCAACATATTACAATGAATATCACACATAAATTTTGACTTTTAATTATTAAATATGTGTAGATAATGTTTGATTCTTATTCCAGAAAAACTGACAGAAATGCAACAAACCACTGCCAAGCAATGGGAAGAGATTGGAGAAAAGAAGATGGAAATATTCTCCCAGAATCGAACCATTGAAGAATTTGAAGCAAAAAAACAAAAACTGTAAGTTTTTATTGAAACATGACTAATACATCAGGAGTTTGTGTGGCTTTCACAAAATCCATCAGGATATACTTGTCTAGATGTAGTTTTGTAGAAATTGGTGTAGTTACCTTCACAACAGTGCCAAATATTTTGTTCTTTGAGACATCACTACGTTTATATAGCCCTGTGGATAGGGTGTCAGACTGTCCTCCTAAACGTTGTGAGTTAACACCTATCCTTCACTCAGATATATCTGACAATGTGCTTCCTTATTGTAATGGGATTTTTTCGATGAGGAATGTTGCCCTATTGGTATGGTAAGTTCATGTTTCTTAATTTTTATCCACCTCTTTCACCGAAATGGGGGATATTAATTTGGGTTTGTCTGTCTGTCTGTCTGTCACGCTTTGTTTCCGTGCAATAACTACAACAGATGTTAACCGATTTTCTTCAAACTTGGTCACAGGGTTAAATGCCTGAAGGGCTCGGCCAAGTTCGATGACCACTTTCAGCGGACCCCATTTGGTGGAGTTATGGCCTGGCCCGTTGAATAATGAAAAACGTCATTATCGGCCGTGCTTCGCGTCCGTGCAATAACTGCAACAAATGTTAACCGATTTTCTTCAAACTTGGTCACAGGAATATATGCATTAAGGGCTCGGCCAAGTTCGATGACCACTTTCAGCGGACCCCATTTGGTGGAGTAATGGCCCGTTGAATAATGAAAAACGTCATTATCGGCCGTGCTTCGCGTCCGTGCAATAACTGCAACAAATGTTAACCGATTTTCTTCAAACTTGGTCACAGGAATATATGCATTAAGGGCTCGGCCAAGTTCGATGACCACTTTCAGCGGACCCCATTTGGTGGAGTTATGGCCCGTTGAATAATGAAAAATGTCATTATCGGCCGTGCTTCGCGTCCGTGCAATAACTGCAACAAATGTTAACCGATTTTCTTCAAACTTGGTCACAGGATTATGTGCATTAAGGGCTCGGCCAAGTTCAATGACCACTTTCAGCGGACCCCATTTGGTGGAGTTATGGCCCGTTGAATAATGAAAAACGTCATTATCGGCCGTGCTACGCGTCCGTGCAATAACTGCAACAAATGTTAACCGATTTTCTTCAAACTTGGTCACAGGATTATATGCATTAAGGGCTCGGCCAAGTTCGATGACCACTTTGAACAGACCCCATTTGGGGTAGTTATGGGTCCTTACAAAAAGAAAAACATCATTGTTAACCAATTTTATTCAAACTTGGTCACAGGATTAAGTGCCTTTAGGGCTCGGCCAAGGTCGATGACCTTCGTTTCTGTGCAATAACTACAACAAATATTAACCAATTTTATTCAAACACTGTCACAGGATTATATGCTTTAAGGGCTCAGCCAAGTTCAATGACCACTTTCAGCAGACTTGATTTGGCAGAGTTATGAATAACGAAAAACATCATTATCTGCCATTTCTGTACATTAACTCTCGCAAATATTATCCAAATTCCTTCAAACTTGATAAAAATGTTTGTGTTCCTCTGTCTTTCCACCCATCTCGGGCACTCTTTAGTTTTCATTAGATAATTGGTGAAGATATTGTTCAGATATTTCAACCAATTTCCGTATGCACATCCGATTCATGCTAAGTTTTTACGTATAATCAATGAGATATAGGGCTTTTTTTCTTCTTCAAGTTTCAAGCTATACATTATGTTTCAAAAGCATGATACTCACATGTTTAAACCTAACCTCGATCATTTTAACTGACAATATGTCCTGCAAGCGAGGGATATACATTCCACAAATTTGCTTGTTAGTACCAGCTTTAATGGTATCCATGAAATAAAACAATAGATCCTGACAAAACATGATTCCAGGTCATCATATTATCATGCTTTTGCTACTTTACAGCGTCCAGCAATATGAGGAAACGATCGATATGAAAGACAACAGGATCAAGAAACTGCAAGTAGAGATCAGACGTAGAGACGCAGAAACCTCATGTAAGTATCAGGGGTGTAAATGGCAACCTTCCTCACCACACCAAGCATGAGTATCAGAGGTGTAAATGACAACCTTCCTCACCACACCAAACATGAGTATCAGAGGTGTAAATGACACCCTACCTCACCACACCAAACATAAGTATCAGAGGTGTAAGTGACAACCTTCCTCACCACACCAAACATAAGTATCAGAGGGGTAAATGACAACCTTCCTCACCACACCAAACATGAGTATCAGAGGTGTAAATGCCAACCTTCCTCACCACACCAAACATGAGTATCAGAGGTGTAAATGCCAACCTTCCTCACCACACCAAACATGAGTATCAGAGGTGTAAATGCCAACCTTCCTCACCACACCAAACATGAGTATCAGAGGTGTAAATGCCAACCTTCCTCACCACACCAAACATGAGTATCAGAGGTGTAAATGTCAACCTTCCTCACCACACCAAGCATAAGTATCAGAGGTGTAAATGCCAACCTACCTCACCACACCAAACATGAGTATCAGAGGTGTAAATGACAACCTACCTCACCACACCAAACATAAGTATCAGAGGTGTAAATGGCAACCTTTCTCACCACACCAAAAATAAGTATCAGAGGTGTAAATGGCAACCTTTCTCACCACACCAAACATAAGCATCAGAGGTGTAAATGACAACCTTCCTCACCACACCAAGCATAAGAATCAGAGGTGTAAATGACAACCTACCTCACCACACCAAGCACATGATTCCAGGTCATCATATTATCATGCTTTTGCTACTTTACAGCGTCCAGCAATATGAGGAAACGATCGATATGAAAGACAACAGGATCAAGAAACTGCAAGTAGAGATCAGACGTAGAGACCCAGAAACCTCATGTAAGTATCAGGGGTGTAAATGGCAACCTTTCTCACCACACCAAACATAAGTATCAAAGGTGTAAATGACAACCTTCCTCACCACACCAAGCATAAGGATCAGAGGTGTAAATGACAACCTACCTCACCACACCAAGCACATGATTCCAGGTCATCATATTATCATGCTTTTGCTACTTTACAGCGTCCAGCAATATGAGGAAACGATCGATATGAAAGACAACAGGATCAAGAAACTGCAAGTAGAGATCAGACGTAGACACGCAGAAACCTCATGTAAGTATCAGGGGTGTAAATGGCAACCTTTCTCACCACACCAAAAATAAGTATCAGAGGTGTAAATGGCAACCTTTCTCACCACACCAAACATAAGTATTAGAGGTGTAAATGACAACCTTCCTCACCACACCAAATATAAGTATCAGAGGTGTAAATGACAAGCTTCCTCACCACACCAAACATAAGTATCAGAGGGGTAAATGACAACCTTCCTCACCACACCAAATATAAGTATCAGAGGTGTAAATGACAACCTTCCTAACCACACCAAGCATAAGTATCAGAGGTGTAAATGACAACTTTCCTCACCACAACAAACATAAGTATCAGAGGTGTAAATGACAACCCTCCTCACCACACCAAACATAAGTATCAGAGGTGTAAATGGCAACCTTTCTCACCACACCAAACATAAGTATTAGAGGTGTAAATGACAACCTTCCTCACCACACCAAGCATAAGAATCAGAGGTGTAAATGACAACCTACCTCACCACACCAAGCACATGATTCCAGGTCATCATATTATCATGCTTTTGCTACTTTACAGCGTCCAGCAATATGAGGAAATGATCGATATGAAAGACAACAGGATCAAGAAACTGCAAGTAGAGATCAGACGTAGAGACCCAGAAACCTCATGTAAGTATCAGGGGTGTAAATGGCAACCTTTCTCACCACACCAAACATAAGTATCAGAGGTGTGAATGACAACCTTCCTCACCACACCAAACATAAGAATCAGAGGTGTAAATGACAACCTTCCTCACCACACCAATCATAAGTATCAGAGGTGTAAATGACAACCTACCTCACCACACCAAGCATGTGATACAGTTATAATGCTCTCCTCTTTCCCAGCTAAGGATTATACTCCACACATTAGGTATGGAGTGTATTCCTTGGCTAGCAAATCGAAATGCCTAACGCTGAGCAGTTGAAGATAAGAACAATTCTGTGCAAGACAAGACAGGTAGACTAGATTACCTGTTTGATGACGACTGGTCAGGGCCTCTATTGTTCTGCAGTATCCAACCCTTGAGCACTTCATACTCAATCTGTTATTTCTGGGTTTGTTAGCAGAAACAGCTATCTTGGGGTTCTGTGTGAAGTCGTAATGGGAATTATTTTTTTAAGTTTGTTATTTAACATGATGGTTTGTAATACAACCTACACTATAAAATTCACAAATCCTTTACACCTGTAATACAACCTACACTATAATATTCACAAATCCTTTACACCTGCACTAGGAAACAGCTCTCAACGAATATTGTGTATTTCAGACATGGAACCATCATCCAAAGCCCAGAAGGGGGACAACTCTACATCAAAGGAGAACATGCCCGGGGGTGTGGTGGACCAATATAATGTCTTCATGCTGGAAGCTAAAAATCTGCGCCTGGAGAGGGAGGTCACTAAGCTAAATAAAAGGTTAAAGGCTGTAGAGGACAACCCTGTCACCAAACCTTGTAGCTGTCCCTTCCAGGAACTCAGTGCCAAGTTTGAGCAGCAGAGGTGGGTTAAGTGGTATCAGTTACAGTGAAATCTGTCTAATCTGACCCCCAAGTCCTCCCACATCCCGATAAATCTGACACCAGAATCATATCCAACATGATACTGAAATCAGTTATCTATGAAAATGTTAAAAAGAAAAACTGTTTTCAAACATCCAGTCTTATCTAACCAACAGGTTGAAAATATTGGAGGCTGTTACATGGTCACACGGCCTCCATGGTGTATGGTCACATGAGTATCATATTACAGTCACATGATAACCATAATATTTCATTACATTACACAGTCATATTCATCTACTATGTAATTTTGGACCCTTGACGCCTGTTAATTTGGACAGCTATGTGGCACCTTATGGTTGTAGTTAGTTGACTTTTGTTGTTTATGTTGTAGTGGGGAGAAGCAGAGACTCCAGACAGCTATGTGGCACCTTATGGTTGTAGTTAGTTGACTTTTGTTGTTTATGTTGTAGTGGGGAGAAGCAGAGACTCCAGAAAGAGTTTGATGAGTTGAAAAAGAAACATATAATTAAAGTTGGCAGTCGAGAAATTGATACGAGTACAATCAATGTACCTGATGTGAAGGTCCCGACAGCTAACCCTACAGAATACTCTCGCCACGACGACCAACTACTCTCCGAAAGTAAACGTAGACCCAACACAAATTACCCCAGGAAACCATTTTCAGACAATGAATGTAAACAGCAGTAGGATATTCCGATGTTGATCTGGCAGCTGTATTTAGGACAGCTGTCTCAGGAGGCACACCTAGGGAGCCACCTCCTGCCAAGTTTTGTGTTTCTTCACAAATAGCAATTGTTTCCCTAAGGATGAAATTTTACATCAGCATTTGTAGTGAAAAATTAAAACGTTGACTTCAGATTCATTACTTCATGATACATCTATCCTCTCTGTCTGTCTTTCTATCTTTCACTCTGAAATGGGACAAAGTTTTGAAAAGGTTCATTACATTACATTACATTATAAAAAAAAATGCTGTACCAGGTAATTAATAATTTGTTAGCCTTCAAATAACCTTTTGTGGTAGGTCAATAGTGAAAAGCTAGTGAGAATTGATTTGAAATCAATTGTGCATAGAAATTGGAATGGATCCCCCTTCTGTATACCAGGACATTTTTGCCCAAACTTTTATCCTTCACTTGTCAAACCTATACTGGCTTGATGTAAATTTGCCCTCCTTATGCAATTACATGTACTATACTTAATATGCTGTGAACTAATAGTTATTTTCATGTTAATTAGCCCTTATAAGGGAGGGCGAAAATATCAAATGTTAAACTGTGGCAAAAATTTCTCTGTATACAGTCTGACAGTCATATTCAACATTGTTTTTTTAAAAATATGGAAAGAACCTCCTATTTATTATGCAAGACTAATATCTATATGATATATACAGCTCTGCCAATAAGTAGAGTATATCATATTACATGATATAGACCCCTTTGGTAAGAAAGTGTGATGAATGGTCTATGGCTATGAGCCTCAGATTATGATACAGTACTAATTAACCCTGATATTATCAGTCGGTGGAGGTAGGTGTTTTCCACCTATTAAATGATACAGAAACCTTTGGTGAGAAAGTGTGATGAATGGTCTATGGCTGTAAGCCTCAGATTATGATACAGTACTAATTAATCCTGATATTATCAGTCCGTAGAGGTAGGTGTTTTCCACCTATTAAATAATACAGAAACCTTTGTTAAGAAAGTGTGATGAATAATGATATGTGACTGTGAGCAAAAAATAAATTATTTATCCTGGTTCAAATGCTGTTAAGGAAGCTTTGATCATTTGTTTATGTGCGTTAGAAAAAAATGGTTGTCACATATTTGAATGAAGAACTTTTTAAGCCTGAGAAGTTAACTGTATAAATAAAGCACACAATTCTATCATATGTATGAGAAGTTGTTGGAATTGTTGAATTCTGTGTTTACAATGTGATTATGAATTCAAAGAGATTGACCGTTTTTTTTGGGGAATCATCTTCATAAAAATGTATTGTGTACTACAGAAAGGCTAACTAAGTGTTAAAAGGGAGATGACATCCACACATTACAAGCACAGTTTTGTGTAGGGTAGCATACATCTTTAAGCTCTTGATTTCTTTAGTATATCCTCAGTCTTTTTTGTCTGTAATGCAAAATGTTAATGAATTTAGAGTCTTTGTTGTAAAAACATACCTGGTAGGGATGATTCTTCACAATAGCCAGTCAATCTCTTCAATATATTAGAGCAGTTTTGAAATGTTCAGATTAATTTGTACCTCGGAAGAAATGAAACAGGTGTTTGATTGACATTTTTTTATCTGTTATTTATCAATGTGTTACAAGTTCACATTAGGTTTACCTAGTTTTAATAGATGTTCAAATAAGAGTGGATGAAAATTTGATGATATGACTTTTATATACAAAGGAATAAAACATTCAAAAAGTTCCAGCTCTGGTAAAAACATTTTTATTTGCATTTTTAGCTTACCTGGCCAAACTTAATTGTTGCTGTCTGTCATCCATCGTCAGTCATCTGTCTGTAAATTTATTTTTTGACCTTTTCTCAAGAACCACAAGGCAAGTATCCTATAGAAGATGAGGATTCAGATTTGCAAAGGAAAAGGGGCTGGCATTATGTTATTTGGCCAGTAACTTGCTTGCATGGAATGCTGCGAAGTGTTTATTCAAGGTCATAGTGTCAAATTTGTTAAAACACTAAAATTGTATTTTCAAAAAACATCAAGAAGCCTAGTCATGGCCAGAAGCTTGCTAAGTATGAGTGCTGCACAAAGGAAAAGGAAAGGAGAAAAGAAAACGCACACTGACCAACATTGAAGGTCGCAGGGGTCAAATCTGTTAAAACGCTCTTTCTGAAGCACTAAATGCCCAGAAGCTTGATGATATGGAATGTTACAAACACATGGAAAAGAAATGATCTTGACCTATTTTCAAGGTCACAGGGTAAATATTTAAAAAAAAAAAAAAAAAAAGTAAAAATTAAAAAAATAAAATTAACAGTAATGATAAACGCCTGTAGCTTGTTGGTTAAAAGTCTGATTAAATTTGGAAAAGAAATGTTATTCACTTGTAGTCAAGGTCTCGAGAATCAAATCTGTCTATACACTACTCAAACAGCTTCTTCTGCAAAACCAAAAGGCCTTCAGTTATGATATGTAAACAGTAGATCGCTAAAAATGAGTACTTAGAGTTTGTGAAAGGGACCTTGACCTATTTCAGGATCACAGTCGTCAAATATAAATACTCGCAAATGACATCTGAAACCTAGAGTCGTGATACATAGCCTGTCCCTAGCTACCATTGAGTAAGTGTCATACACATGTTCAAAGGAGATTGCACTATAGGAATCTGGAGTCTGAAATTAATGTTATAGACATTTTATTTAATATTTTTGGGCACCTGTTTTTAACATTATCAATACACCGGTATCGAATTAAGTGTTCAACATCAGTGAAATATATATTTATACATGACTAAATTAAACAGGGCAAGGTTGTTGAACCAAAATGAACATAAATAACTTAACACACGATTAAATTGTTGCCGTTTATTTTGTATAAACGACAACTGGGGTGACGAAATGGTGGGACGGGGGAGCCCCCCAGCCTGTCAATGACACATTGTTGGAGTGGGGCACAACGGTGTTCTAAAGTCATGGACACTGTCTTGTCACAAAGATAAATAAACTTCCAAGAGACTCTTGCTCATCAAGAATTTTCTCAATCTAACGAAATATGATACGAATGACACTCCGACACATCTATCGATTTGCCAGAACAGTGGTTGACAACACACGGACTAACATCGGTAAGGAAAACAGTTGTCCAGTCAATTAACGATGTTAAATGATACAGATGTTATTAATACTCTCTCCTAATATATCGAGTAAAGGAGATAGCTGTTATGCTGGCCTCTAACCGAACCTCTACAAATACTACAGGGGTGACGAGGATTAACGTCAGCCTACATCGGAACAACTGAAACGGAAAAACTGCACGCTATGTCTGTCAGACACAGAAACATCGAAGAATTGAAACATAAAATTTCAGGACACCATTTTCTGGCTTACTCAGGATGATACAGAGATGAAACGTTCTTGAAATGTTTTTAACTGTGTGTGGCAGCTTAACGTATGGGCTGATTCGAAATGGGGTGAGGCTTGCAAAATCTGGATACAAAGCTTATGATGAACTGATAACTGCTATTCGCAATCACCCGAATTCCAGACCCTTAAGTAATAGCGGAAAGGTTGAAGTTCCACCAGCAAAATCGAAAGGAGGGTGAAACCGTGAGTCAATTTTTAGACCAACCCCAACAACTCGGTTAACGTTGCAGTTTTGAATGTTTTTGGGACCATGCACTTTGTAAAAGATTTGTGTGCGGTTAGCTTCCACTATTATAGAATGTAAATTGCTCTCATAAACAGATTTGAAGGAACTGAAGGAGATCTCGGCTGTTTTCGGTGAGAGTAAGAGCGGGGACAGTAATGCAGACACTTGCCACTATAAAAATACCAATTGCCACAAATATAGGGAAATCGGAACTTTTCAACAGGATTCTACTAAAGCACTTCTTGATGATATATGGAAACTAGCTTGGAGACTTCATAAAATCATTGAGGATGTGGCACAGTTTCGACTCTTCAGGTTGATCGAACTAATAGTCACGATTCTCCGACTTTGCGGTAACGCGAAATTTCATGAAAGTGGAATTCTTCTTCCAGGGGATAGATGAGATAAAATCAGTAACATCCTACATCGAAAGTCCGCCAATACTAACATACCAGAGGACTTCAATACTAACATACCAGAGTACTTCAGATACAAAAGTCCGGCAATACTAACATACCAGAGTACTTCAGATACAAAAATCCGTCAATACTAACATACCAGAGTACTTCATATACAAAAGTCCGTCAATACTAACATACCATAGTACTTCAGATACAAAAGTCCGTCAATACTAGCATACCAGAGTACTTCAGATACAAAAGTCCGTAAATACTAACATACCAGAGTACTTCAGATACAAAAATCCGTCAATACTAACATACCAGAGTACTTCATATACAAAAGTCCGTCAATACTAACATACCATAGTACTTCAGATACAAAAGTCCGTCAATACTAACATACCAGAGTAGTTTAGATAAAACAGTCTGCAATACTAACATACCCGAGTACTTCAGATACAAAAGTCCGTCAATACTAACATACCAGAGTTCTTTAGATAAAACAGTCTGCAATACTAACATACCAGAGGACTTCAATACTAACATACCAGAGTACTTCAGATACAAAAGTCCGTCAATACTAACATACAAGAGTACTTCAGATACAAAAGTCCGTCATTACTAACATACCAGAGTACTTCAGATACAAAGGTCGGTCAATACTAACATACCAGAGTACTTCAGATACAAAAGTCCGTCAATACTAGCATACCAGAGTACTTCAAATACAAAAGTCCGTCAATACTAACATACCAGAGTTCTTTAGATAAAACAGTCTGCAATACTAACATACCAGAGGACTTCAGATAAAACAGGCTGCAATACTAACATACCAGAGTACTTCAGATACAAAAGTCCGCCAATACTAACATAACCAGAGTACTTCAGATACAAAAGTCCGTCAATACTAGCATACCAGAGTACTTCAAATACAAAAGTCCGTCAATACTAACATACCAGAGGACTTCAGATAAAACAGGCTGCAATACTAACATACCAGAGTACTTCAGATACAAAAGTCCGCCAATACTAACATAACCAGAGTACTTCAGATACAAAAGTCCGTCAATACTAACATACCAGAGTTCTTTAGATAAAACAGTCTGCAATACTAACATACCAGAGGACTTCAGATACAAAAGTCCGTCAATACTAACATACAAGAGTACTTCAGATAAAACAGTCTGCAATACTAACATACCAGAGGACTTCAGATACAAAAGTCCGTCAATACTAACATACAAGAGTACTTCAGATACAAAAGTCCGTCATTACTAACATACCAGAGTACTTCAGATACAAAAGTTCGTCAATACTAACATACCAGAGTTCTTCAGATACAAAAGTCCGTCAATACTAACATACAAGAGTACTTCAGATACAAAAGTTCGTCAATACTAACATACCAGAGGACTTCAGATAATACAGTCTGCAATACTAACATACCAGAGTACTTCAGATACAAAAGTCCGTCAATACTAGCATACCAGAGTACTTCAAATACAAAAGTCCGTCAATACTAACATACCAGAGGACTTCAGATAAAACAGTCTGCAATACTAACATACCAGAGTACTTCAGATACAAAAGTCCGCCAATACTAACATAACCAGAGTACTTCAGATACAAAAGTTCGTCAATGCTAACATACCAGAGTTCTTCAGATAAAACAGTCTGCAATACTAACATAACCAGAGTACTTCAGATACAAAAGTTCGTCAATACTAACATACCAGAGTTCTTCAGATATAGCAGTCTGCAATACTAACATAACCAGAGAACTTCAGATACAAAAGTTCGTCAATACTAACGTACCAGAGTACTTCAGATAAAACAGTCCGCAATACTAACATACCAGAGGACTTCAGATACAAAAGTCCGCCAATACTAACATAACAAGAGGACTTCAGATACAAAAGTTCGTCAATACTAACATACCAGAGTTCTTCAGATAAAGCAGTCTGCAATACTAACATAACCAGAGTACTTCAGATACAAAAGTTCGTCAATACTAACGTACCAGAGTACTTCAGATAAAACAGTCTGCAATACTAACATACCAGAGGACTTCAGATAAAACAGTCCGTCAATACTAACAAACCAGAGTAATTCAGATACAAAAGTCCGTCAATACTAACATACCAGAGTACTTCAGATACAAATCTCCGTCAATACTAACATACCAGAGTACTTCAGATACAAAAATTCGTCAATACTAACATACCAGAGGACTTCAGATTAAACAGTCTGCAATACTAACATACCAGATGACCTCAGATACAAAAGTTCGTCAATACTAACATACCAGAGTACTTCAGATACAAAAGTCCGTCAATACTAACATACCAGAGAACTTCAGATACAAAAGTCCGTCAATACTAACACAACCAGAGTACTTCAGATACAAAAGTCTGCAATACTAACATACCAGAGTACTTCAGATACAAAAATCCATCAAAACTAACATACCAGAGTACTTCAGATACAAAAATGCGTCAATACTAACATACCAGAGGACTTCAGATAATACAGTCTGCAATACTATCATACCAGAGTACTTCAGATACAAAAGTCCATCAATACTACCATACCTGAGTACTTCTGGTACAAAAGTCCGTCAATACTAACATACCAGAGGACTTCAGATTAAACAGTCTGCAATACTAACATACCAGAGTACTTCAGATACAAAAT